GGAAGGAAGGAAGGAAGGAAGGAAGGAAGGAAGGAAGGAAGGAAGGACAAAAAGGAGGCAGGGAGGGAGGAAGGGAAGGAAGAAAGCAAACAAAAACCTTAGTTGATTAGTGTGAATAGATGTTCAGAATGTATAATTGAATATAGCAAAGAATAGATATTCAGAATGTATAATTGAATATAGCAAGCAAATACAAAATTTTTCCTTTAAATAAGAAAAACAGAAAGAAACATCTGCAAATATAAATAGACCTTGGGAAACAGTACATATATGCATAGATCTTGGAAAGCATCTACATATGTACACAGACCTCAGGAAACATCTTAAGTTGTATATGCACATACAACTTAAGAAGCATCTACATATATACATAAACATTTGGAAACATCTACGTGCATCTGTATATATGTGCTTACATTTGTAAAAGAAAAAAAAAAGAAAAAAGAAGGAAAAAACCCACTGGATTAATTATATACTGGAGGCCCACTGCATTTGGCTTCTGTGATATTGGAACTGAACAATTTGAAAGTAGCAGAGTCAAGCTTCCTCTATAATCAACCTGTTTGGGTAGGAAAGACTGATTTCCGTCCTTTCCATCCAGGTACTGGATAATATTAGATTTGCCCATATTTACCCCACAAAGGGATCACTAGAGTCCTCTTGCTTTTCAGGGGTGAACAGGTTGTTTGAGGGTGAAAGGACTCTAGCCAGTCTGGCCTGGCAAACATGGCTCCGGCAGCTCTGATCCTTCTCTGTATTCCCTTGCTAAAAACCATTAGATTACATTCCTAAAGCTAGCCCCCTTAGGTCTATTGCCTTATTTGGACAACTCCTCCTCCTCCTGAGGCTGCCTACCAAGGTCCAGCTATCAAAGTATTGAAGTCCAGCAATCAAAGGCCCCCTCTGGCTCACCTAATAATGTCCAGTTAAGAGTAAACACCTCATTCTACCATGAGGTTTCCCCTTTACCTTTATAAATTGCCATTTGCCTCTGGGCCATGTCTGCCTCCTCTCTATTCAAAGACAGTCCTTTGTCCTGCCCACCCCACCTAGACAAATAACCCTTCCCCTCTCCCTTGCCCCCCTTTCTCAGCTCTCCTTTGTTCCCTTCCGCTTGTCCCTCTTCTATCTCCTGTCTTTGTTCCTTATCCCTGCTCTTTGTACCTCTGGGCAATTAAATCTCCTTTGTGCTGAGAACTTGATCTTGAGAAGTCTTGAGCTGACTTCTGAAGTTGCCTACACCTGGGCTGTAGAACAAAGCAGTTTCACAGATTTAAGTTCGCAATCTTGCTAATTGATCACCTGTGTTCTAAATGTTTCCTATGCAGCTGAACTGCCTCTGAGTGTTGTTCATGCCCCCCAAAACCCACCTAGGAAACAAGGTGACACTGACTGAAGCTAAGGAATGCCTGGGGTACCAGCCTGCAGTTTAAGGCCAGACCCAGCTCTGGAGTCGTCGTTTTGCTCTGTTTCTTTATTGTTGGGCACAGTATGATAAGTGCTGAAAGTTTATTCTATCCAGGTATCAGCCTTCAGGAAAGTACAGGCATCTTCAGCTTGAGGGTAAAATCCAAGTGAGTCAAAAAATCACAGGCCAGTCTCACTTCCTAAGGCAGTAACAAGAAAGGAGACTGCATCTGGCCACTGGAACAAAGGGGAATGTTGGCTCAGGGCCCTCTGAGAAAATGGCCATCGGTTTAAAAAGAAGAAGATTGGTAATTAACAGTTATAGCTAACAGTAGTGACCAGTTCACCACCAACAATCAGTACATACATGAACTCTGCCAAGGGGAAGAGGAATCTTTGGTATTGAGGGAAGAGGGGGAGGAGGAGAAAAATGCTGTGATGCACTTTGTTCGTTAGCTTGATCATTGAACAAAACTTACCCATACTGAAAAATTACATTGTACACCTCAAGCAAACCCACTTTCTATCTGTCAGCTACCCCTCAAGGTAGGTGAAGGAGAGAGCTCAGAAGAGCCAGCATATTCTTCCTTTGGATAGTTGTTTTGTCCACAGGAAGCCTGCAGGCACTTGGCAATCACTGAAAGACTTGCCTGAGGTGGGGCCTCCTCCTCCTGACTGCTCTAAGGATTCCCATTGGGGTAAGAGGTTTCTGTTCACAAAAACCACTAGACTGTGTTGTTCATTACTTGTGGTCCAAAGCGTTCACTCTGAGGCAAACTGTGCATTAGACCAAATTATAATCCTCAGTCCATAAACTAGGCTGCTGAGGGGCTGATGTGAGCTAGAACTTACCTTAAAGCCATGGTGAACCAGACCACAGCCAGAATCAGGGTATTCATTCTGTAGGGCCCCATCACACAGTACAAGGCGTTATCCCATACCTAAGACCCACACCAGAGAAGAACAGTTAAAGGAAGAGACAGGTGACTGGGTGACACAGAGAACATATTTCTCAGATTTTCTGATAGATTTCCTAGGACATCAGAGAAGTGCGTATCCCGTCCCCTCTCCGAGGAAGAAGCCCCAACCAGCCTGGAACATCAACCGCCCTGTAGTATTATTCCCCCTGGGAACATGGAATTTTGGTAAATGTAATCAAAAGCACATCAGACTGGGGTTCCAAGCTGTTCAGTTCTACACCACTCCCACCCTTTGAGCAGGGTGACACTTCAAATGTTTATTGACCATAGAGCATGAACCCATTGGTCTCAGTAGAAGCTAGCTGGCTACGTCAGTGCTCAGCAGCTGGCTTGATCCTTGCCTGAAAGACTCCTGCGGAAATGGAGTCAGCCTTTATAAGTCCTTCCCAAAGTCAATTAAAATCCCAGAGTCACCGATTTTCATCGTATCTTCCTTCCTATGGATTAAAGAGAAGTGGCTGGAGAGAAGGATGCTTACTAAAGTGTCAGAACCCTGGCCTTGAGAAGGAACAGCAGGAGAAGGCATAACGGTTTACAGCACTCACATCTCTAGACACAGGGCAAGCTTAGAGGTGCCCCGCACGGAGCAGAACCTTCCCCGAGGCGGCTTCTGCCCATCATGCTGTCTTAGTTTAAGGATGCTTGTGTGGTCTTTATTCTTCACTCACCGAAATAACAGACTCCATGGAGCCAGCCTCCCCTCCAAAACTGTGTTCACAGATTCGTACCTGTTTGAAAACGGTCATAAACCTGACCAGCCAGCGCTGGTACCAAGTTCCTGTTGAACTCTGGATCTCGATGAATTCATCCATCTGCTTGGGAGTTTTGATGTGAGAAACCTGGAAAGCAAAGATGGATTTGAATATGTCAATACCCATTTATCTTTATTTTTTTTTTCTTTTAGGTATTTACTTTTATGTGACTGACCTTATTGAATTGCCTAGAATTTAAAAAGTGTTTGACAGTTCTCTCATTATTGTTTTAATCAAAGATTTGCATGATAGCTCTCAGTGAACTGTTCCTTGTGAATATGTCTGACCACAAGCAAAGTAAAGTATACCTTTTTCAGTAAATGAAGCCATTGAGAAATGCGCATCACCGTGTCTATAATCTGATATTGCCTTAAAATTCACACGTCTATACTTAGTGGGTATAAACATCAGGCAACAGTATGAGGCCGGGGCATTGCTACTTAAGACGTTGTTGTTGTTTTGTTTTTTTGTGGGATTTTTTTCTTTGTATAAGTGAGAGTTCTGGAGTCAGGTAAAGTGGTATAGGTCTGTGTTCCCCTCAAACTATAAAAACATGGAAAGTCTAATATGAACAAACTCACCATAACAGAAACTTTCAAGTCAATCTGAATTTTAAACTAATCGTTGAGTCGTAGACCTAGTCAGTGCTAAGCCAGACTCCTGAGCACACAAACTCTTTTAGTCCACAACGCAGACGCTCTTCCCAAGTTCATAGGACCAGAAGAAGGGTGTGCTCAAGAAAACTCAGAGGCAGTTTCTATCTGTCCTCTAACACAGTGTTTAAATATGTATAAAATAGACCCATCTCTTTCTTCAGCCAATGAGCTGAGAATGTAAGACATGAAGGAAAAACACAGATGGTGCTGGAGAACCTTCAGGATGGCCAGGTGCCTACCCAACAGCCTGCTGGCACGTCTGTACCCTGAGCCTCCCAGCTGCAGCTGCTGACAGTCACATCTGTATGTGGAGCAGCTGTACAGCCTGTGAAAAATGCTCTTTTGTCTGGAGTTGGCCCGTGAAGGGGAAAACTGCAACAGAGAGCTCTGCAGTAGGGCTCGACAGAACATAGATGGAGCCGGGCTTCAAATCCTCTGAGCCCATGGACATCACAGCACCAGCTACTGCTAAAGGAGGCCAAAGAGGAAGGACGACACAGCCAATTCAAAAGCCCTAGGCATATATCCAAAAGAGGCTCAAGTACACAATAAGGACATTTGCTCAACCATGTTTGTAGCAGCCTTATTTGTAATAGCCAGAAGCTGGAAACAGCCCAGATGCTCCTCAACTGAAGAATGGATGCAGAAATAGTGGTACATCTACACAATGGAGTATTACTCTGCAATGAAAAATAAGGAAATCATGAAATTTGCAGGTAAATGGTGGGACCTGGAAAGGATCATCCTGAGTGAGCTGCCCCAGAAGCAGAAAGACACACACGGTATATACTCACTCATATAGACTTATAGGATAAACATAAAATCTGTACATCTAAAGAAGCTAATCAAGAGAGAGGACCCTGACTAAAACGCTCAATCCCCATCCCGAAAAGAGGATGGACATTAGAAGACGAAGAAAGCAGGAAACAACCTAGGAACCTGCCACAGAGGGCCTCTGAAAGGCTCTGCCCTGTAGACTATCAAAGCAGACGCTGAGACTTATGGCCAACTGTTGGGCAGAGTGCATGGAATCTTATGTAAGAAGTGGGAAATAGGTTATGGAGAGGACAGGAACCCCATAAGGAGAGCAACAGAACCAGAAGATTTGAACACAGAGGTCTTCCCAGAGACCCATACTCCAACCAAGTACCAGGCATGGAGATAACCTAGAACCCCTGGGCAGATGTAATCCATGGCAGTTTAGTGTCTAAGTGGGTTCCATAGTAATGGGAAGAGGGACTGCCTCTGACATAATCTGATAGGCCTGCTCTTTGATCACCCCCCCCCCCCAGGGGAGAGCAGCATTACCAGGCCACAGAAGATGACAAAGCAGCCACTCCGGATGTGATCTGATAGACTAAGATCAGAAGGAAGGAGAGGAGGACCTCCCCTATCAGTGGACGTGGGGAGGGGCATGCATGAAGAAGGGGGAGGGAGGGTGGGATCGGGAGGGGAGGAGGGAGGGGCTTATGGGGGGATACAAAGTGAATAAAGTGTAAAAAAAAAAAAAGGGAAAAAATCTTAAAAAAAAAAAAAAAAAGCCCCTTATAACGCACACTTCAAATCACCCAAGTAGCCACTGTGGTGTAAATCTTCTTTGCTTTGCTCTTTGAGGGAAATAACACCCTGTTCTCGTTCTCGGGCTTTGGGGAGTGGGTGTGTTGATTTCCAGCACAACTGCTCTAATTTACAATTAATTAGAACATTTTCTCTGGTGCCACCAGAGAACAGCATATGGCCTGTGTTCCTGTTTACCCTGCAGAACACAAGTTCTTAGCAGAATGCTCCAAGTCCTTGACCCTCCAGGGTTTCTCTGTGGGCAAAGCTTCTGGCTGTGGCTGTCCAGGCGTGTGGGAGGCACATATCAAAGCTGCAAAAGCCTGCAGCTCAGAGGTCAATTGTGAGATGGGCACTCAGCCAGCTTCAGAGCTGACCTGCTCTTTTGCTTGGGCTGCTGAGCACATTTATGAGTGCTTTACTGAGCCGGGGTCACACAGGAAGTAGCTGGTGGCTGTCCAGGTGGGCAGAGTAGAGTATGCACCCCCTACTGCTATCCAGGGTCAGCCCGCTGCCTCTGAATGGTCAGCTTTCTGTTCCTCTTTCCTCTCTTCCCTTTCCCCCTTCACTTTCCCTCCTCCCCCTCGTTTCTCCTTTCCTTCTTTACCTTCCACTCTCCACTCTCTCCTTTCCCCCTTTCCTTCTTTGCTTGCTTTCACCCCCATCCTCTTCTTTCTGCCCTCTCTGTTTTTCTTCCCTCCATCTTCTTCCTTTCTCCCTTCCACCACACTCCCATCCCACCTTTCCTGGACAATCCAGTTATCCACTTCAGCATAGCTCATGATCAATAAGTCAGTTTGGAACACTGAACCTATAACCTTTTAGTTCCCCTTTCCTATTAGGTTTAAAAAAAAAAAAAAGCACTAAAAGCTTGTGAGGCCCCAAGGTCTAGGAAGTGGCATACATGTTGGGGTAAGACAGATTCCATATCTGAGAGCCCTGGGCATTCTGATCTCCACGGGCTTTCTTCCTAGTGTGCTCCATCCCTGGCGTGAAGAAATCAAGTCCAGAAGTAAACAGCTTAGCTTTTGCCTTTAGGAGTTGGGTTGCTTGTTGGTTATATCATCTCAAACTTCCTAGAAGGAGAATACAAAGTTGCTGCCACCCCAACTTCACCCCGGAAAAGCTTTCCCCTGAACTCCCTGGACCACGTCAGGGCTGGAGCTACAGACTGGAAAAATCACTTTCTGTTCAGATAAAAGTAAAATTGCAATGTGCTGGTGCCTATCTTTTTGCGCTTTGCCAACTGAGAGTGTGGGGTCACTTTTCTACAAAGGATAGCTAGTCTCACAGCCAAGCCAGGTTTCCAGAGGTATTCCTTAGAGAAGTCACAGTCCAGTTGCCCTGGGAGAGGCTTCGATGTGAAAGGTAATGACATGTAAGCTGAGAACTCAGAAAGTATAGTCCCTGAGAAGGAAGAACGCAAGAGCACATGCACGCACTCATGTACACACACACACACACACACACACACACACACACACACACACAAAATGGTGTGGAGAGAAACTTTCTATCATGACACCTCTTAAAGAAAGTCCATAGTTGTGATAAATCTGTTTAATAAAATTTAGGAACTATACAGAAAACCCTGGAAACACACTGAGACTTCAAAACTCAACAGCCTACCATGCATGAGCCAGGGAAGTTTTCATGTTTTGCAGCATTCAGGGCATGGTGAGGAGGAGGAGGGAAAGGAAGGGCAAAGCTATATATTCTCATCTAATTTCCTCTGTCGTTAACTTTTAGGTAACACCACCAAATTCACAAATGCTTGCTGCAGGTGGTGGGTGGGCATCTGGACATGTGCCCCATGCCAGGTTGACATGGCTCAAAAGCCATTGTGGCTGAGATGGAGTCAGAGACTGAAGGAAGAGAGGCGGCTATAGAAACATCGCCCAGGAAGAACTGGCAGCTTGGGCTGGGCAGGGAGGAGGGCTGCAGGAATGATGGCCGTGAGCAGGGAGTCTGTCCTAATGCCTGACTTCTGTAAAGTAGCCCACCACAGGCCACAGGGAGAGAGAGTGTTACGGGCCTAGAAGACCAAGAGGGCCATTGACCCTTAACATCTTCATTTGGAGTGTTTCTGTGGTTCTTTCTTCATGATAAATTTGAACGTATTGAAAGTATTGGTCCTATAAAAGTACACATGAAAGTATCTAAGGGAACAAACAGAAGTAACGGAAGGGGAAGAGAGAAGGGGTGTGTCAGGAGGATGGGGATGTTGCAAATATATACAGTAGACATGTTTATAAATATTTTAAAATAATTTAGAAAAGTAAAAGTAAAGGAAAATGTCTATTATTGCAAATATTTTAGGAGCATTAGAACTGGGCAAGCATGCCATTAAGCACTTTTCTATAAAGACCGTAATGAGCTAGTTTATGCAAAATATACACCATGACATTTTTCATAACTGTTAATATTTCGTAATGCTCCAAGGCAGGCACTGTTTCGGGTGCTTTGTTTAATCTCTTCAATAACTGTCTCCCCAGATGCGTTATCTGCCTTTTCCCACGAGGAAACTCAAATCCCAACATCCAATCCCACCTGAGAATCCAGGGCGTTAGTTAAGTGGCAGGCTAGCAAGGAGAAAAGTTAGGGGATGGGAGTTAGGTGGGAGTTCATCTGGGGAGGCTTCTCGGGAGAAATGGATTTGAACGGGTCTGAAAGGATGTTGTAAATGCTTGTGTTTGGTTATGAAGTGTGGCAAGCGGGAGCACAGACCGCTCTGCCAAAGGAGTATCTTCACGGAAATTGCCACTTCCTAGTTCTTTAATCCAGACTAATACCCAGCACTGATAGGGTGGAGAGAAATGGGTAGCCTGCTACTTATGGTTTTTGAGCAGTGACATAACTCTAATAAGACGTAACTTGGGAATTCACCTCAAGTTTATTTTTAAGCATTTAGAAATATATACGTATATGGATATATGTATGTAATAATAATTAACTAAGAAAGAAGCTGAGAGTTTGAAAGACAGTAGGTATATGAGAGGGTTTGAAGGGGAGGGAAAGAAAGGAGGGAAATATGATTATATTACAATCTCAGAAAATAAAATAAGTAATAAAAAAAACAATACAATTTGAGCCAGTAATTGTATTTCTACAGAATATGAAGGGACAAGAGCAACATGGATGAGAAGATTCATCACAAGGCAATAAAACAGTGTGAACGAACCTCTGACATTAGGGAAACGTTGAAAATGGTGTTAATGTTCCGAGTGCTGACTTTCATTAAAATGACGGTATTGTTCATTAAAACGAAGGTTTGAGGGGCTAATGGGAAGAAACAATTCTGTGGATGCATGAGGCAGCATCCGAAATGCTAGCACACGCCACTAATACAGTACACAAATCTTCATGAGTACTTATGTTCACTGGAATATGGCCAGTCTCTTCTTTATTTTTAATTCACTCATTTTTACTTTTTTTTGGGGGGGGAGCGCTGGGGTTTGTCTGCAGGGGTCTCTGTGCACCACAAGCATGCCTGGTGCACAGAAAAACCAGAAGAGAGAATCAGACCCCCCTATACTGAACCTATACTGAAGTTACAGTGAGCCATGACGTGGGGGCTGGAAACCAAACCTAGGTCCTCCGCAAGAACAGGGAGGTCTTTTAACACTGACTCATCTTCCAACCCCAAAGGTTTTTTTTTTCTCTCTCTCTTGATGATCTATTGTGTGTGTGTGTGTGTGTGTGTGTGTGTGTGTGTGTGTGTGTGTGTTTCCGTACCATGGGCTCTGGAGAGCAAACTTGGATCCTCATGTTTGTACAGCCAGCACTCTACTGGCTGAAGCATCTCCCGAGCCTTCCACTTTGGTGGGTAGGTAACATTATTAGAAAATTATAACAGAAAAAATAAAGCTAGCTAGGGCAAGATGGGTAAAATGAGTCTGTGGGTAGAAGTAGTTGCATACAGCCTGATGGCCTGAATTTGCTGCTTGGATCCCACAAGGTGGCAGAAGAGAACTGACTCCGGAGAGTTATCCTCTGACTTTCACATACATGCTTTGGTATGCCTGCACCTACACACACACACACACACACACACACACACACACACACACACACAGTAGCAAAGTGCCTTGCTGGTACAGGCTAGTACACTCACCGTGAACACCTTCTCAGGGGTCCCCTTAGCCCTCATGTTGGTGTCGTGGACTTGCTTGAGAATCATCCAGGCTTCATCATGTTTGCCCATCTGGAAAATCCAGAAATAGAGACATGAAAGTTCATGGCTGCATGTGCCTCCTTTTCATTGGGTGCTGGGTCCAGTGTGCTGGGTCTGAAGGATCAGGTGTGGACCCGTTAGCCACAGGTGAGACCTATAATAGCCCACAGCAAGTCCCTAGCCTGCACTGACAAGCCAATTAGGTTGCAACTTCAAGCGGTAAATGCCATGTGCTATCACGGTGAGTGACTACTCTCGGTGTGAAAGTGAGTAGATCATAGAGAAGGAGCCGTGCTCCTCACTAATGAGACAAAGCAAAAAGAAAAAAAAAAAAAAGTAATGTTTCATGTGTGACACCCAAAGTACCACCCCCACACCGGTCCTACACTGCAGAATGTGGCCTTATTCAGAAAGAAGGTTGCTGCAGATGAGATTAGTTAACGTCAGTTCTTCCTGGAGTGGGGTGGCTCCCCAACCCAGTATGCCTGCTGGTGTTCTTGTGAAGAATAGGGATAGCTCCTTGGCTGCAGGTTTCGGGGGGCAGGCCTGCTGGTACCTTCATTTTGTGCTTCATGAAACTGTGAGACAAATTTACTGACATCACCCTCCGGTGCTTTGTTAGGACATCCACAAGGAATGCATAGACAAAGGATGCAGCCTGCAACGACCCGGGTTAAAAACTGCCTGCCATACGCGACTACAAAGCAGGATGCACAAGAGAAGTCGGCATGGATCACCATTGCAGCAGCCAATGATGAGGCTGATCTGTGGACGAAGGCTGTGTGAGACTGAGACCTGGTCACCCGCTGCTAGAGCACTGCAGGCACAAGAGCCCCCAGAGTTGAAAGCTCCTGAGATCATCAGCCGCTTTCCAGTGGATAGAGGCCCTGTACAGCTAAGAGTCCTGGAGGCCCTGGGACAGTGACAAGAGCTTACTGTGGCCACACAGAAAAACAGCATGACCATGGGAAGGGTCTCCTATTTGGGACCTCTGTGAGGAGGTAGCGCACCGAAGCAAGCCAGGATCTGTCCCTCAGCACTCTCCAAGCCTGAGGGAAGGTCCCTGCCCATTGCACCATGAGCTCCAATTTGTGACCCCCCCATCACCAAAAGGAAGAGAGCCAGGTTTAATGATAGGCAAGGTCATCCAGGGAAAGCATGCAGCAAGCAATGAGGAGAGAACACGCAGCCAGGGACTGGGTGAACAAGGCCAGGACTCCTGTGCCTGGTAAAGACTCACCTCCAGCAGGAACCTGGGGCTTTCCGGCATGAACTTCAGTGCCACCATGGACACGGTGCAGGGCAGAGCACAGACGATGACAAACACTCTCCAGCTGTGGAAGTGGTAATTGGTCCCCATGCTGAAGCCCCAGCCTGTAAGGAGAAGAAGGTGTGTCAGACTTAACCACTGCAGACAAAATGGAGGAGCCAGCTCTCAAGCTCAAGGACACTCCAGCCTTTTGGGAGATGCTGCTAAAAAAATAAAAAATAAAAAATAAATGCAGATTCCCTGGTTGCCCCGAAATGCTTCTCAGTTATGAGTTTGGGATTTGACCTGGAAAGTCTGCAATTTGACAAACCGTGAGCCCTGGGCCTGACTGGCATTTACAGAGCCTTATAGAAATTTATGAATAGAAAAACATTCCCAGTCATGCTTATAATCTCAATATTCAGGTGACTGATTCAGGACAATTACTGTAAGTCATGATGAGACTTTGTCTAAAAGAAAAAGAATTCTGTGTCTTATATTTGCCTTTTATCTCTTCCACCCCAGGGTCTCATGTACACAACTTGGCCTCGAACTCACTATGTAGTTAGTCAGGGGTCACTGTGAACATCTTTATCTAAAATATTTATTTGTTTTTATTTTATGTGCATGAGCTTTTGCCTGTGTGTTTGTCTGTGCATCACAGGAATGCCTGCCACATAAGAAGGTCAGAAGAGGGTATGAGACACCCTGGAACTGGAATTACGGATGACACCGTGTGGGTGCTGGGAATTAAACCCTGGTCATCTACAAGACCAGTAATTGCTCTTAACCACTAAGCCATCTCTCCAGCCCTAACCATGAGCTTCTGATCCTTCTGCCTCTGCCACTCACACACTGGGATTACAGGCATGTACCGCCATACCCAGTTTATATGGTGCTGGAGATAAATCAGGGCTTTGTACCTGCTGGACCAACACGAATGAGGCTACACCCTGAGCTCCGTATGGACGTTTAATGTTAGTGAAGAAACTGTTTAACTGAAGGTGCTCTACTGGCATACCTCCACAAACAATGGCCTACAGGGCACTTTCACTGCATGGTCTTCTCTACTGAGCAAGACAGAGGCACCATGCCAAATGGTAGAGACACCCAAGACTGCCATGCAGAAGAGGGGATGTTCTTGCCTTAATCACAGACATTTCGTGGGATTGCGTGCCCAGAGCATCATCTGGTTGGAAGGAATCTGGGAAATTCTGGAGACGTTCCTGGCATCAGCCTAGAGCAGGCCTTACAGGAGCTCAGGGGTCGGGGTTCCTTCTTACCCGGGTCAAAGGACAAAACCATCTCCAAGTGAGTCCAGTGAGCAGACTTCATAGCCACACTTTGAAAAACACCACACCTCCAGACATCACTCCATATGTTTTCATAAGCAGCCATTCCTCTCCCTTCAAATGAATCTCACCACCACTGAAAGGGGAGGTGACCAGGTCCCATCAGCTGCTGTTGTGCAAAGCGCTGCTAAATTCTTTGTCAGAAGGCATTGTTGGGACTTCATTAGTGTAGACTAATTGCATGAAGGGTTTCATCACATTTTCATTCAAGTGTAGCATGTACTCCATCTATATTCACAGCCCATTATCGTGCCGCGTACTCCCTCTTTCGTCTTCCCACATTGTGCCCTTCTACTTCCAAGGCATACACACATAGTTAAATCTAGGCTGTAAATATGAAGAAAGTATGCAATATTTCTCTTTCTGAGTCTGGCTTACTTTACTTATGAGAATCTCCAACTCTGTTTTTTTTTTTTTTTTTCAAATGACATAGTTCTGTTCTTCATGGCTGAATAGGTCTTCATTCTATATCTAGACCACATTTGCTTTATCCATTATCTGCTGTCAGACATACAGGCTTGTTCCATATCTTAGCTACTATAATCAGGCTATGGTAAACACAGATGTTTACCTACCCCTACAAAATGCTGACTTAGATCCCTTTGGATATACATCTAGGAATGGTATAACTGAATCATAGGAGAGCCCTAGTTTTATCTGTTCTTAGTTTTTTGTGGGGGTGGGGGAGGTTGGAGAGTCTTCTGCTGTGATTCCCATGGTGGCTGTGCTAGTTTACCCAAGCATTAACTTTTAATGCCCTCATCAGGAGACAACTCCCTTCTTGTAACGAACAGCAACACACTGTAGTTGCATAAGTCAGAGTTCAAATCCTGACCATGTCATGATCTTCATGGGTGTTCCCAGCTACAGAATTCAGGTAATGGTCCCCTGCAAGCCTGCTATGCATGCCTGTTCCTGACAACCAAGAATGACTCACCTGCTTCAAGACCGGATGTTTTCAGAAATAACTACATGGCGTTTAGTCAGTGTAAGAGTTGCTGGATAAAATCAATGGATTACTTTTGAAAAGCAAAGGCTGAGGTTACAATACCTCTCAGGGCTTATCTGAAAACAGCCCAATCAGTGTTTTAATGATAAAGCCTAAGAAATAAATACACTCACTCAGAATGTTGAGAAGATAGTAAACTACTTGGGTACAAAAGTTCTAGTTCTTTAATTTAAAAAGAGAAAAACACTTTATGGCTGGCTCCGGTGGTGGGAAGCTTACATCTTGAATTTTCTATGACACCCCATCATGGTTCAACTTGTATTTCCACAGTAGAGTTCTAACCCACATCCTCTGTGCCTATATACACTTCCTACTGGATGCACAGCTGAGGGATAATAGCAGAGCAGGTGGTGAGATGTGGCCCCATAGGCACATTTGGCTGAGGTGAGGGCACTCATGCCTGATCCAGTTTACTCCAACAGCATCAAACCTCTTTTTCCACAGCTGGTCTTGCCTTATCTCACTGGGGTTGGTTTGTTCTTTGTAATATTAATTAAAAAGCCTTTACTTCCTCCTGGGAGTCAAGGACAGATAAAACGATAGCAATATGTACACATCCTTGGCTCAGGTCCAAACACAGTTCTGGCATCATAAGAAGCAAAGTTGATCAAAACTTCCAAGGGAGGCAAACTCAAATGGATGACCAGGAAAGAAAGACTGGTGTTGGCATATTTAGTAAAGTAGCCTGCATCAGAAAGATTTTTTCGTTATGATACTATGTGTGAAATAGCTAACATCCATTATTCCCTCATGCTTCTGTGTTTTTTTTTTTTCTGGTGAAATCAGTCATTTGCATTTATTGAGTTCATTAGGCACATCTTTGGGGTCTTAAATTGAATAAAATTAAATGGTGAACTGCCTCCAAATATTTGGAACAATATTAATTCAGAGGCATGGATTGTTCTGCTGGCTGATCTTTCAGCTTGCCCTACTTTTCTCTGTCAGGCATTCCGCAACATCTGGTGGGGCTGACTACAACGGGAGTCGGTCTTCCATCATATACCCATTTGTTTTTAGTTTTCGCTGGGCTGTCCCCATCAGTTCTCAAAAACAAAACAAAACAACAACAGAAAAAGATAATGAGGTTGTTTTTTTTTTTTTTTTTCCCTCAGTGAATCAGTTGCCCAAATTTCTGGAGCCAAGACTCCCATCATCCATTCTTTCAAAAGCAGCTAAATGGGTTACACAAGCTGTGCATATGAAAGCTTCAGTCTCCTTCTAGAGTCACCCTTCGCGTTTGTTAGAGGACAGATGTCTCGAACATATTGGGAAATGCCATCAAATGTCTTTTCATTGTGCATCAAACATCTGGTCCTGGTAAAATGATGCTTAAAGTAAATAATTGCTCTCTTGTTGTGCTCTGATTCTACCAAACCATGTGTAGAATGGTTTTCTTCCAAGCTAGAGCTTTGATTAAACCTCTACTTCTAAATTAGAGTATTAAAGTCCCAGATTTCGTACCGGCATACGAATAAAAGTTCCTATCCATTTAGGGTAAAATGTTTAGGTCACAAGCCAGCAGTGACCAGACAGCAACCATGTGGTCCCTTTACATGGTCCCTCATTTGGTCTTATTTGCTCCCTACCTCAATTTTTTTTTAATGACGTCTTGGAAACTAGATCTTTAAGTACATGCCTGTAATCCCAGCAGGAAGCAGGAAGACTGCTACAAGTTCAAGGCCAACAGGGCCACAACATGAAAGCCTCTCTTAAAGAAACAAAACCAAAAAAGAAGCCAGGCATTCGTGTGTGTGTGGGGGGGGGGCACACGCTAAGATTTATAAATTAATGCAGATTGTAATGATTCCTGTGACTCACCTCTCCTCTTACAGCATCCATTCCTTCCCTTCCTTTCCCACTTTCCCCACTGTGCTGGAGATATGTAACATGGATGAGATTGACCCCCTGCAATTCCATGGGTGGGAAAGGAAGTACTTCTAACCCAACCAGGACTTATATCATCCAGTATATGGGGACTGCTTGAGGGGAGGCTTGCTGTCCGAGTTGAGGACAGGCTTCTTTTGTACACGTAGTCTGTAAACAGAGAGGCTAGAATGGCCGCTGCTTCTAGGAGGAAAGCTAGCTCCTGTACTAAGCTCACCTGGAAAATGCTCTCAACACTGTTTGCACCCTGGGAAGCACTGTACTCTGGCAGGGAGACCACGGTGAATTCTTTTCACTTCTTTCTCCTGTTTCGTGAAAGAGCCATGGAGGCAAAGATGGAGTGGCATGCCCCATACCAGTAATTTCACTCAGACTTTACTCAGATTTATTCAGAATGAATATTTGCTTGTTTTTATTCAGATTTGTCCTCACCGAAAATGTTTTTCAATAAGTTTACTATGTTCTGTAGTGCTAACACATTTGGATCAGTTAACAGAGGAAGTCATCTTTTATAAAGAATGGTGGCATAAGTTAAATAAATTATAGATAGATAGATAGATAGATAGATAGATAGATAGATAGATAGATA